CTAACAGGCAGTGAACAGCCTACCTATTGCCAAGGAAAATTTACACCTGGAAAAAATTAATAATCTTCTTTTTCCAAGAGGGTAAAAGGAGGCACCAGGTATCAGTCTGCTCAAAGTCATTCTCAGGATTTAGTTTGGTCCTTTTTTAAATGTCCTGCAGAGGAAAATTTCTATCATGTCTTTCAGTGAAGAAGCTTTGAAAAATCAGTAGTTGAACTATCTTGCTTTTACTTGTCTGATTCCCCTGAACCATCCCAACCATTTCTTCCACCCCTGTAAAAAATATGAAGAGTACTTTTTGGTAAATTTATTACAGAGACAAATAACCAGAATCTCTTTAAAGGAAACAACAAAATGAAATGTTGTGCTTCCTAATAACTGAGATTTGTAAAATACATTAATACGTGCTGGTGGGGTTTTTTTTGTGATACTGAAAATTCCCCAAACCAACCTCTGAGAGCATTTGGCCAGTTTGTCAAGCCTGATAACCTCCTGTGGATGTCAGAGAGAAAACAGAAGTAATGTGCCTTTCCTACTGAATAGAGAAATCCCTTGTCCCCTAACTATATGCTCACATGCGAAATGAGGCATCAAAAAAGAATATACTTGAGGATTCAAAAAATAACATACTTTCACATATATATATATATATATATCTATCTCTGTGTAACCAGTTAAGTGTTTTAGCTTCATTAAATATACAAATAGGCTGATAACTGTGTGCTGTAAAACACAATAAAACATAATGGGTAAGAAAGCAGAAGTTTGCATGTTTAGGTAGTATCCTAATCTAGATGCCTTCTGAATGGAAGGAATTTTCTTAATTTCAGACCAAGTTTGATCAGTCTAATACTTCAGAGTTAAACTCTGTCTTATTCCTTCCAGCCAGATAATCTGTTCAGAGTATTTGCTCTGTCCCAAAGTAGTTTGCAGCATATTATCGTGTTGCATGTTCTATTCAAGACAATAATCTACCAAGGACAATTTAACAAATCTTATGAGTTTATTGGAACAGATAAATTTCATTTGCAGAGCAAAATACTTTGCTGTTGCACTGATTTCCTAAAGCTGTCTCCTTCAAGCCAAAGTCAACCTATCCTTAGAAGATTAAGATGTCTGTAGTGGTCTACAATGAGTGTTTTCGTGTTCAAGATTTTTCTTCTACAAATCATTGAGATTTACATGTTGAGTTTGTATTTCTGTTCATACTGTAGCTTAGAATGTACCTTGGATAATGAAACCTGTCTTTAACTGGGGAAAAATCTCCATATTAACATGACTACGAAAAAAGCCCCAGCAAACCACAATCCAGACACAAGGCTGCATGTTCTCTGTGAAGCACTAATAAATTAATCCATTAGTGAGTGTGAATTTATCTTCTCTGGTGCTTGTTATCAAGTATTCCCAGGTGTGTATGTGTTCATAAAGTATAAATTAAAATGGCTTTAATACTAGCAACAAATTCACATAGTGCAAGGACCATAAGGCACAGTATTTTTCCCACATCAACAACAAAATAGAGAAATATTCATAAAATAAAATATAAAAGTGAATAATCTTCCTCACTGAGTAATATATTAGTTCCTAAGAATATAACGATACTAGCAAAAAAGAAGAAATCACAATAACAAAAATAAAATACAGTCCCATTATTTGGTTAATGACCCCATCTTGTGGAGCAGCGCCCACGCTTCAGCACATTAATAACTCTCATATACATTTTTGCTGAACTGGGTCCTTAAAGAAACTGCATTGCTTGATGGTGAATTACTTGGCGTTGCATGCGCTGTGTCCAAGGAAGTGCTCTGCAGGCAATTTATCATTTCTATATTACGACTGTATAGCAATATGAAAGTCCTTTGTTATACTGTGGCGTGTCAGGGGTCAATACTTTACATTTTTGCTTTTGGTTCAGCCTTAAGTTGCCACCACAGCTTGCTTTTCTCCCACTTTCCCCCACTGTGCTGTTCCCAGTGCCATGCCAGTCTCTCAAGCCTGCTGGGGGAGTTTCTTGCAGATGTTACCAGGGGGGAAAAACCCATCTCTAAAACTCAACCTTGCAACAGCGTTTATATTCACCACAGCAGTGCAGCCTGATGATGGATATAACCTGTTCCACCTACTTCTCCCCATCCCTCCTTCCCTTGCTAACAACTGGCAGTGGGTACAGGGGGGAAAGCAGCCCTGGGGACTCCTCTGGTGGCTGCAGTTCCAGCGGGGAGGTTTCTGACCCCTTTGACCCGAATGAGGGTCCTGTCACTCCTCTGCTGGCCATGAGAAGCTGCAGTGCAAAGGCTTTTCTCAAGAGAGAGCCAGCAGTCGCCTCCTGCCTTCTGAGAAGGTGTGGGGGGGTCTTGGGGGTGGCCTTTGGCCATGGCCAGCTGAGCTAAGGGCTTGGAAGCAGTTATTTCCTCTGCTTTTCTAATTTTTTTCAGATGCAAAGATGTGGGCTTTAGGTTTGTTTATTTTTTGTGATATTTTGTCGTTTTGGTTTGGGTTTTTTTTCCTGTAGCTAGTGGAGTAAACATCTTAGAATGACAAAAACATTAAGAACCGAACAGGGGGTATGATTAATGACTGCTGACATTTCTTCTAACCCCCTTCCTTGCCTCGTGTCCCTGATTCAATGTGCTGAACGCTTTGGTAAACGCCATTGCTGCAGGAGCCATGTTTGTATTAAGGAAAACAAGTTTCAAAGTTAGGATTTTGATAACATGAGTGCAGCTGCATTTCTGCAGTGAGTGGGGGAAAGAATAAGAATGTGAGCGCGTTCAGGCTCTTAAGCTTTTTTCTTTTTTTTTTTGTTTGTTTGTCTTTTTTTTTTTTCCTTCGGAAGTCTCAGAGCAGCCCAAGTAGCGCTTCTGTTTCTGGGATCAGAATGCCTTTTGGTGTTTTTTTTTAAACACAGAGGCTTGACACTCAAACCCGGGAAGGAAGGGAATACAAGGAGAACGGTCGTGTTCCAGACTCTCTTTCTGCAGTTGTAAGAAGAGGCGGGAGGGGGAGGATAGAACAAGCCACCAGCCGTGGCTGACGGCATTAGAGCAGTGCTTGGGTGATACCTGCAGCTGGGGAAGGCTTGTTTGCAATGTACAGTTGTTTGCAATGTCTGACTCCCAGCCCCGCCACCTCCTGGCCCTCTCTCCTCCATCACTGTGGCACCATCCATGCCCCCGGCGGGAGGGAGAGCGCAGGGGTGGGCTCCCTGGCTTGGCCACCGTTCCCGTTGTGCCTGTGCCACGGCTGCGTCAGGGCCAGCGTGTGCTAAATCCCCAAGAATTATGATTTTATGATTTTCTATTCCCAGATAGCTGCACGCAGAGCTTGTTGCTTAATGATATAAATTGGCAGCTTGGATATTTTACTGTAAAGGTTTATCCCATTAGACGTCCTTTCATCGTAATCTGGGTAAATCAGCTTTGTCAGCAATATATGTTACGCTGATTTCTGACGTTGCTTTCAAGGCACGTGAGATACTTAAAAAGGCTGACGAGATACTTAAAAAGGCTGACATGTTTCCACCCTCCAGTTGAACATGTTTCCCAGGAAGGCTACAGGTACCCTTATGTATAAACCACCCAAAGACAAATGAAGATGCATTTCTCCATGTTATTAAAGGAAAGGTGTATATTGTATGCACTTTTTGAGAAAATGCCTTTTAACAGTTTTGATGAAGTCAGTGAGATTGCAAACTGCAAGTGGAAAACTGTAGAGAACGTGTATAGCCCAGGTAGGAAAGGAGGATTGGTTTTCCAGCTGTTTTACATAGACTTCAAAAGATGATATTACATGATCTCGCTTCATGTGTGAATATCCTTAGCTCCTTGAAGATCACATCATGGTGCTTGATCTCTGTTATTTTTTAAAGTAAGCAGTTGTTGACTGCATCTTGATCTGGTTTACAGAAGGATGTAAGGTGTGAATTGCATGCAGATAGTATTTGCAGATTTCACAGGTACAGAAAATTAGAGGAAAAAAACTGAGTTACAAATCTCTGTCTCAAATGCACCAGGAATGTTTGTATGTGGCACTTGTACATGAATGTAAGAATACAGATTCGAAGTTTGTAATGTAGAATGCATGTGTGTATGGGTTTGAGTTATGTATTTAAAACCAAAAAGAAAGTTATGTCTGTTGCCCTGTTCTTTCAGGGTGAAGAGTTTGTTATTCTTAATTGTGTATCAACTGAAGCATACTTCCTGTTGACTTACAAATAATGCGCTTTATATACATTTAAATCTATTTTACATTAAAACATCTGTCTGTTAGAGACATATCACAGCCTAATTCGTCATGTGAAAAAAAGGGTTCTGAAATATTTTGAATTCAATGTAGTAAATTCAGTCAATATTCTAAAAAGATTAAAATTTTTGTTTCGGTTCTAAAGATCTTGACATTGTTGCATCATAGCAGCCAGGGAGGGAACATGGCTACTATTTCCTGCAGTCAGATTTTCTGTTACCCAAGAGATAGCAGTGATGCAATGACGTTGGGTGCAAGCGTGGCCACTGTGCTGTAATGAGAGCTGCAAAATTCAGTAAAAGCCTTCCATTCATCTCTTTAGCTTTTGATCTCTGCCAGAGAAAATGAAAGCAAGAACCTTGTCTAACTAATGATAGTGGTTAGCATGTTGAGCGAGGAGTTTCAGAGGGAAGAGAAAATGAAATTCCTGTAGGTCGCTAGCTTGAGACACTGCAGTCGAATATAAATATAATGGGTAAAGGCATTTGTATCTGTCCCCAAATACAGTTCCCTTCTGTGACAGTTCAGTGCCCTAAATTCCCGTTTTAGGATTGCCCTTCGAGGGGCAGGGTTCTGCCTTTCCTTTGGACTGGTACCCATACAGTGGGTCCCTGACCCCTCATTGTTGTGTTCTGCAGCTCTGCCATGTAAATATCAAATGCTACCAGGGATGATAAAGGTGGTGTTTACATTTTAGTCTATTTCTAACATTCCTATTTCTTTTTTCTTTTTTCTTTTACATGCTTTCTTGGGTATAGCAGACCATTTAGGAATTGAATTCATGGGTAAGTTTTTGTTTCTCTTCTTTGCACTTGCTAATATTTATCTTTCTGCCCTATCCCAAAACACGCGGAAGTTAATGGGAGGGCTGCCATGACCTCCATCAGTGGATTTTGGATTGGGCTCCTATTACATTTACTGTTTACATTTGAAATTATATGAACATTTAATTTTTCTCTTGTCTACTGCTAGGGGACTTAAAAACTACATAATGATATTTTGGTAATTTATTGGTGTTTAATGAAATGTAATATAAGGATTATATGGCCATATCATGATATTTGAGGAGTAATGTTTTATATGAGGTTTTAGGAAAGAGTTAATGCCTATCTTCATGTAAAAGAAAGTAAATTCTAAATTGGAAATATTTTTTTCAGAATTCAATGTTGATTACAATGGTAAATGTAGCTAGGTTTAATAAGAACCATGTTAGCTTTTAACAGACAAGTCAGAGAAATATTTTTAAGAAAAGGGACAAATATCTCTGATTCTGTGAAATAACTTCACATTAGGAAAAAGGTAAAGCAGGAGTGAATAATTGCTTCTTATGATTTTGGAAAGGAAAGGATGATGTTCTATTGACTCAGTTGCTGCCCTATAATGTATTCATGGTCTGCTGGAATGATAGGCTTAGCAGGTCACCACTTCACTTCTCAGCTGGTGATCTCCAGAGAGCGTAGGTAATTTCCTCGAGGAAGCCGAGGTATGTCTTTAGCAGAGTTAGTGGACCGGTGCATTATTTGTGTAGAAACAGCTTGCATAAAGTATTAAATATGATTGAAAACACTATATTAAAAGTTTGCAAATTCATATCAAAGTAATAAAAACTTAATTTTAATGTGTCCTTTCCCTATGTTGAGTTTTACTTATTTTTGTTGGATTTTAAAAATAAAAATATGCTAGCCTAGTGATTGTAAGTGGTGATATGGGGATTTTGTTGAAGAGTTTAGGTTGGCAAGAAATCAATATGATGATGAGCATTAACCGTGTGGCAAGCTGTGTCAGCAAGAGGATAGCCAGCAGGTTGAGGGATTTTTTCCTACTGCTTTTGGACTTGTGCAGCATACCTGGAGAACTGCCTGTCTCTCTAGAGAGGAGGTCTCTCTAGAGAAATATTCTGTGATCTCCAAAAGTTTAGTGTTCCGTATCACTTTATATGAAACTTGAAAAGTACTGGTGGAATTGATGCAAGTGTTTTCACAGACTTAGTGGACAAGCACAATTGGGAAATGGTTACTTTAAAGGCTTTGCATATATCCCAGTTTTACTGCTTAACTTAAATTGTAGGCAGCAGTCTTGAGGCATACAAGTTGAAGGACAAGCATATACATAAAAGAAACAGGATAAGGAATATATATAGGATTCTTCGAGTGAGCCTTTCCATAGGAAGCAGGAAAGTGTTACCCAGGAGGCAAAGCTGAATTATTTTAACTTTATTTTGAGCATTTTAGTTTCCTTCTTATTTTTTTTTTTAAGGCGTCTCTTTAAGGCTTGAAATAAAGCCAACCCCTGAAGTCTTGGCACAAAGCAGTCTTCTCATATGAGTAGCTTTCTGATTGTCTTATTTAATATTGGAACAGATCTTGATGGTATAGAAATTAATAAAATCTTGTGTCTTGAGCCTGAAAATATTATGACAGCAGTCTAAAGTGAGGCTTGAGGTGGTTTTCTGTGGGCTAGAAAAAAGCAAGTTCCAGAATCATACACAAAAGTGAAATGTTTGTGCTTCTTAAGCCCTCCTGCAATCCTTCTGAAGAATTACTTCGGAAGTCTAAGCACATATGGAATCATCACTGCACACATAGCAAAGCACAAATTCCCACCCTGGATACAGAGGTCAGATGACAATATACTCACCAAATTAGGGCTATTTATGCAAAGCCTTTCCCATGACTTTACTTCTGTACTGTAGAAAATAATTGCAATTAGTGGGAAGTGTATTTTCCAATTATGAAAGACAACAACGTATAGATACTGCAGAGCTTAGCCTTGCTTTATGTGATCCAGGGAACACTCTTTCTGATGCTTTCATTGCGCTTGTGGGCTCAGTTGCCTTAGGAATTCCATTTCCATCATCATCTTCCAGAAATTTTGTTTGACAAACACATGAGCCTGGATTCCCAGGAAAGGTTGAACTCTTTCCACAGTAGGGAAAGCTCAAATCTCATGTGGACAGGAACATCTGTTTATAGAGGTGCATCAGGGGACAGATGAAATGTAGACTAGCTACACATCTAGCTTGGTGTACTTTCACCAAGAAAAGTAGATGAGCATAGTCTTTTCTTTTTTTTTTTTTTTGTGCTAGACTCTCAAGAATCGTTGGAGTGTATATACCTACCCAGGCCTTTTACTGTCCTATTAGGGGTCTGTTGTCCATGAATTTGTGTATCTGTGTATCTTCTTGTGAACCAGTTGATACTGTCTTCCCTCACAAGCTCCTGTGGAAGCCAGTTCAGTCGTTCAAGGCTGCGTACATTGCTTGTCCATTACCTGTTGAAATCCGTTTCCTACCAGATCCTTAGCTCTCCTGTCCAGGACTTGTTGAACAAGAGCTATGCATTCAGTTCATATACCACACTGTTGTGTTAACCTCTCTCATATTCTCATACCCCGCTTCCTTTTTTGGGTATTGTCAGGTTCATGTTCCGTACAATATTCAATATTGAGCATTCCCAAACATGAGTATGTGACACTTTAATATTGTTGCTGGATTTGGTTTTCAGTGTCTGTTTCTTTGTATGAGTAGCAGAGATAAATGCAGGTGTATTAATGTGGCATATCTGTTTTTAAATGTTGCAAATGTAACACTTTATGTACAGTTTTCATGTATGCACGTGTATGCTTCTCTTGAATTAAATTAAAGCCAAGTACGTGTTCAAGGGACACCGTGTCCTTAAAAATGTGCATTTAAGTATTATGATCAAAGTGGCCAAGCTTTATGAAATTTCTGGTGATAAGGAAATGCGTTACACTTTCTAGTACCTCAAAGGAAAAAAAAAAAAAAAGTCTCGTGTTTGAGATTCACTTGTGAGAGCTGCATTCAATTTCCATCTCAGATGCGATCTTCCAGAAAGGCTTTGGGCAAGGTATTTTAATCTCTCTGTGCCTTAGATTCTCAGTTACAGTAGTTTTTGCCAGGCTTTCTGCATTTAGATTCCTCAGCTCTCTGGGGAATCGCTTTCAGTCGTGTGTAATGCAGAAACTATTCCTTCCTTGCAAGAGGGTGCAGACTTCACTACCTCCTTGCCTGTGCTCCCTGTTTCCTCATAATGGGAGAAGAGCATACAGCTCACACGGGTCTGGGTCCTTGCATGTGTCTGCATGGTGCCCAAAGTGTCTCATCAATGATGATGCATGCAATTTTATTTACATTTCCAACACAAAGGTAAGTAAATATTATTACAATGTTCCTACAGGCTGAAAATCTGCTCATTGTATTAAGAGCATCATGTCAACTGAAAGCAGGCTGGCTGTTGGTAAAACTCATGTGAAACAGCTAGTTTGTAAAAAAAGGGAGATTGAAAGAAGCAGCTTTTATTCAATGAGAAAACTTAAGTGATGTATTGTTAGCATTAGATAGCATGAGGATATGAGTATCTACAGTTTATAATCATTTTTTGACCCAAGGGGTTAACCACACCTCAGGGCTGAATTGTTTACTTTTGTCTGCTGTAAAATTTGATGATGGAGCCAAATCTCTGATAGCCAGTGTGGCTGATCAGGTTGCTTTGGTGCAAGAGGTAGCAGTTGAAATCTGAGTTGTGGAGACTGATCTCGTCCATGTGGCCTCAGCAGCAGAGTGAAATCATTACTCTAACTGTCAGATGCAAGGAGACGCGAACAGCCTGAGAGTGACCTTTGGAAATAAGTGTTCTTGGCAAAAAGTCAGTGCCCAAGACAAGGAGTCATCAGTTTTACTTATTTCTTACACTGAGAATGGGTAGAGTTAAGTTGTGTTAAGGGATGAAATGTGAAGGTGAGCATTGTAATAACCTGCTACAGTACATGAACAAACATGACTCTTACAGCAGTTCACCTAATCTGGTGATCCGGAATCTTTATCTTTTGTTCTGTAACAGAAATGTACAATGGATACAGTTGAAAGTGAAATGCCCCAAGAAAGTACATCAATCAGGTTGCTACAGTTTTGATGGATATACGGTCATTACATGAAATAGTCCTCATCCTTATGCTGCTTAGCAGCTAAACCAATTAATGGTGTAAACAGTTATGATGTGATAACCTGAATCTCCCCATGTGTAAATTATAAAAATAATATAGCAGTTTCTATATTTAGTGGCTACTTTTAATGTGCTGATACTTAGGCCTTTACACAGGAAATAAATATTTTTCCTTAGAACATTTTCTGGAAATTTTTTTTCTCGATATATCAGAAGAACCTTCACTGAAGTCAATGGAGTAAGAATGATATATGATTCCCTTGTAAGTGGTGAACTATTAAATAAATTTTAATTGAGCAAAGCAACAAAGTAACTCAAGAACAGGATCCTATGAAAATTTATATATCTTCTTGCAATGACTACAATATGAAATGTATTCACTTTGCTGTACTCTGAACAGTTAATGTTGGAGAAGATGGTACATGCTTTATTTTCTCTGTGCTGATTCTCGCTGCCTCCTTGTTGCAATAAGACACTTGTATGCCTAAGACTCCAGGAACACATGATCCAGTTAACTAAATTGACTCTGTGGCCTTGTGTCATGCACTGCGACACATGCATTTTGACTTTTTCAAACCAGTTGGTTTTGCTGATGGGCAGTATAAGCAAGACAGCAACAATTTATTATTTTTCCTGTTTGCAAAGAAATAAAAAGGCAAAGTTCATTAGTTCTTGCACAGCTCACAAAATGTGCAGCTGGTGAGCTGTCCTCTGAAACTCAATGTCTTGTAGCAGCAAACAGACAATGAAAATAAATAACCAGTGTTTGCATGGATGGTCCTAGCCTTAGTTACCATTAAGCCATTCTTATGTGTTATAAAACC